TTTAACAAGAGCATGACTGAGCTGGAGAAGGACTTCCAAAAGACAAAAGAAAGTCTCAGGGTGGTTGAAGGTAAGTGATCAATTATAAAGGACATAACAGCAAAAGCAGATTTTTTTGCACTGCTAACACACCACCTCCCTTTTGCATTTCCAGCCAGCCGCGTTGCCTTCTCTTTCTCTCTATTCAGCGATGAGAATTTTAAGTGTTACGGCCCCTTCAGCGAAATGAACAAGGTCGTCATCTACAAAAATGCCTTCCTTAACTTGGGCGGAGCCTACAACATGAACACTGGCGTCTTCACCGTTCCTTTCTCAGGCGTCTACAGTCTCGCAGTCACCATCTTCAGTGACGCAGGGTCTCCCGGCAACATGCTGGCTGCCTGTGCCAATCTGCAGGTTAACAATAAAGTGATGGCAAGAGCCAAAGAGTTTAATACCAATGACCAAGAAGATAGCGCCACCATAGTTGTGGCCATGCACCTGAAAGTTGGAGACATGGTGACTGTTACCTTAAGCAGTGGCTGCTATCTCTGTGATGAAAGCTACTACAACACCTTCAGTGGCTTTCTGCTTTATGTTACTGAATAAGTTGGAGGATGGTTGGTTTTTATTGCAAGTTTTGCTCCACTTTTAAGGTTAGAGTCTGCTAGGTGAAATTTTCTGCATCAGTCTATTGTTTGGGGATTCTTTTGAGAAAGTCCCGGTTTTAAATTCATTGTGCTTTGATTCAGCTTGTACAATCTGAAAGCTTAAACCAAGAAACTATAAGAGTATCTTTGTTCTGAAAAAAACATATATTTTCTTGTTTCAGTAATGGCCTGTAATGTGTATATACAATCAGCAGCCATGCACCTTGTAAAATTACATGAACTGTAATCAAAAGGTTTGTTTTACCTGAACAATTGTGTGATTGTTTGGAAAATTAAACTATTGAAATACTGATGGTACTATGCTGTTTATTTTTTTAGGTATTGATGTTTTCCACAGACCAACTTTATATTGAACTATATTTAGTAACACACATATATCAATTAAATTAAAAAAAAACTTTATTTACAATCTTGCTCACAGTGAGCATGAATATGAAGCCTTATTAAACCATATTACCACTCTGGTGACAGACATACATGACACATACAGTATCAATGAGATGAATGTCTTAACATTTAGTATATGGTGGATTTCAGTCCATTTTAATATACTTTATTTTATTTACCCGATAACATCAGTCAGATGCATCCAACTAATCTTTCATCCGGTACCACCTTAAACCTGATCTTGTACCTGTCACCTGTTCAGGGGTTCAGAGAACGATGCTCGGGTGAAGGACTTTCACCATGTTTTTACATGTTAAATTGTACAAGTACATGCTGACCTGGGCACCTTATAGTCACTGAGTCGGCCATGGTTTGTATACCAAAGTGGTCTAGAGTCATCTGGTGATTCTTAAAAGGGGGCTTCAATTCTCACATCGGTAACAATAGTGAGACCCGAAGGCGGGTCTGTCATAAGACTTCTTTGCAAATAGTGATTTGTCCATAAAGGTGTCCATATCAACTGGTGGTAAGTTGGGGAAAGATGCTGGACACTATACAAACGTATAGTGAAGGTGCACTTGGAAAATCTGGCAGAGGCCCGGTCCGTGGGATCTTTAACACCGACCTGAGGCAGAACTTCAAAAGCAGGGACGCTGGGCATGTTGAGTCGAAATGAAATAGGTTGCACCGGAGCGGTTCGTAGCGTAGAGTGTAAAGCGACAGGAATGAGAATTAGCACTTCCTAGTTTCTTGAGCGCCTCCTGGGTGAAGTGCTCTGGGCATTTCCTACTGGAAAGAGGCCTTGGGGCAAACCTAAGTCATGCTGAATAGATTATATCTGTCAAATGGCCTGGAAATGGCTCTTTGTTCCCCTGGATGAACTCAGGGAGGTGGCTGGGGAGAGAGAGGTTTGGGCTTCTCTGCTTAGGCTGCTGGTCCCACGACCAGGTTCTTGATAAGCACGACGGATGGATGATACCCGAGTTGAATCACAAAGACATTTAATAGACTGAATATCCACATTAGTTTTTGATAGCGTGATCAGTAGAAAAGTCATCAGTAGAATAGCCGTGACTCGTGATCAATAGAGTTTTTAAAACTTGCTAAAAATTAGGCCAAAATGCGTCTTAAGTCTAAAACTGCCTCTAGCTAGATGTTAAGAAGTTAAATTTGCTGGGCAGTTTTTATACATTCTGTCACAATAAGTTGAATTATTAAATCTGAAAAATAAAAGAAATGAAAACTGTTCAAAGAATTAGTAGTATTTCATTATACTTTTCAAACAAACAGCAGTGGGACTTTTTTACTACGGTAGTTGTTTTACTCCAAAAGAAAGCAGTCTTTTTCTGGATGGGTTTCGTCATACTGAAATGAACTCGGGCACATTTTCACACCCGTATCAAACAATCTCTGGTTTGAAATCACATCTGAGGTTATAACACTGCATGCCAGTTTTGTCCCCAGGTGCTACATGAATTATCTCGAGGACAGGAAATCAGACATAAAACACCTGAGATACCCTGGCATTGAGAAGATCAGATAAGAAGAACATGAAACTATGCGATGAACCAGGTCAACTGATTTGAGACTCCGTACACACAAGTGGTGAACAAAAGACAAATATAATACATTTTTCCAGGAGTACGGACATTTTTAAATGTGGTTGTCAACACATGAAAAACCCTGTTATCAAATAGGGCCACGTCTTTTTGAACAAAACACCTGGTTTCAGGTTAATAACAAACAGTAGAGGTGAATGAGGATCTGCTGTACAGCAAACCCCTGTTAATGGGGCCAATATTTTAATTTTAAATGCTTAACTTTTATGCGTAAAAAAATATCCAACTATGATTTCAATATATACACTTTGGTACAATCACGGTATTTGATAACTTCATGCTAAGGATGATGTTGTATTAAGCGCACACACAGATTTATCTATTTGCTTCCCCATATGATGGGGCAATTCATTTTTATAGCTAACAATGGGTTAACAATTGAGCCATTTACCATACAAAATCTTGTCAGGTAGTCACTAGTGGCCAGCTGGTTACATAGAAGTTTGGGTGTACAGAAGTCTAAGAAAATGCCTCCTAGAACCCTTTTTCAATAAACTCTCTGTAAATGATTTTATAGACACAGTCGCTAGTTTCAAGTCCTAGTGAATCAAAACTATTATTTATTTTAATAAATTGTGTTCAATTAGAGTAGCCGGGATATATCCTCAGTGCAGTCAGATCCACTGCTTATTCATCATGTCAAGTTTCGAACACTAAGATGGTGGTGGTGAAAATGCTTAGTTCAAGGTCTATTTATAGCCTAGAGGATCTTTTTTTTAATTGGAAATACAACATCGGCCTCAGCTGGTCATGCATGCTCTGCATCTTACTACTATTCAAAGGATCTATTAGTCTACAAAGGCTTTATATTGGACTGTGCAGTAAAAGGTTGGTTGTCAAGAAGGAGCTGAGTAAAGAGGTAAACTAGTGTGCCTACAGCCTGTCTAAAACATGGTGGAGGCACTGTCATGGTTTGTGGCTGCATCAGCCAGTGGCGCTGGAAATGCTGTCAAAATTGAAGTAATTATGAGTACAGAAGAGTACAGTCAGATTTTTAAACAATGCAATACCATCTGGAAAGCAACTAATTGGCAACAGCTTAATTCTTCAGCACCACAATAACCCTACTCACATTGGCAATGCAGTAAAAGAATACTTGGATAACAGACAAAGAGTGGATTGATCTCTCCAGGGCCTGGAACTCAGCATTATTGAAGCAATGTGGGATCATCTTGACAGAGAACCGAATGAAAAGAAGCCAAGATCTAAAGGTTTGAATTTTCCTTCAAGACGTCTGGAGAACTTTTCCTGAAGACTGCTTAAAGAAATTATAAGAACGATTGAGTAGGTGGTCAAACCAAATATTCATTTTCAAGCTCAATACTTTGTAAAAACTCAGATTTGCCTTATATACACTGTACTACCACTTATGTTTGTATATTTCTATAAATAATGGTGGTTGGTTAAAAAATATGATTTTCTGCACCAAATGTTTTTGGTGCAGTTCATTCATTTATTTTCCAAGTATTTCACATGAAACAACTTCACCATTCTACCACATGGAGAGCAGAGTTTAACCTCTGTAAAGCAAAATTTCATACTCAAACGATCAAAGTTTCTAAGTGAGATAACAAATGAAGTGTCTATGTTATCAATCTACTCCCAAATAATGGCAATCGTGATTTCTTATCTACACATAGACATATCTAGGCACATATTATAGGCCTCAACAGAATGCAATATCTTATGACGATTGTGCAGTCAGCTAACATATTCTTGCACAACAAAACACTTTATTAGGCCAATTCTCTGAACCAGGTTAAAGTGTTTCCCACTTTTTTATTTTTATTTTATCTCATATCGATGATAAACTGGGCTACTATCACTATCTGAGTTTCCAACAATACTTAAAGAGAAAGCAATCGTGGGAAAGCAATACTGTATATTGTTTTTGTTAAATCAGATAAAACTCAGCTCCATTTGTCTTCTTATCTCAGTGTTATTATACTCTCGGGGACCTGACAACTATCTACATTTTTGAGCAGCTGGCATCATTTGAACAATGGCAACCAGATACTGCTGTCCTAAAAACGAGTATTACTGTCCACACAATAAGTGCTAAAAGGTGCTGTGAGAACACTTTTTGTTCTTTTAAACTAGAGGAAAATGATCTACTGGACTGTATTACAGAGGCAATTGAGGCTGTCACCGTGGCAGGGATTGGATAGCTAGTGCTTAGCTGTCCAATGTCTACTTGTGTGTTTGTGTGTGTTCATGTGAAAAGGTGGAGCTACTGTCATTCGCACCCTCATGGGCTGGATCACCCAAAGTGTAACAATAAGAAGCTGAATTCATCCTCCGCCATTAACATTCTTAAATTCACAAGAACCTGACACAGGCCCAGTCCTTCAGAACAAGAAGAGGACCAGAAAAACAGTAAGTTTTATGATTAAGTCCTTACATATACATTATAAAAAATGAGAAACAAATACAAATGAAGAACGTTACATTGCTTTCGCAGGGGGATGATATATAATTAACCTTTATTTGAAACATATAAAATTTAAAAAAAAATACAGCTGTATGTGGGACTGAAAAAGGAAATTGTTTATATGCAGACATTAACTAATATACATGTTATGATGATTACAGTAAGATAACCAAAATACTTAACACTCTAGCTTTCAACTACTGACTTATGGCCTTGATAAAGAGTATCACGGGTACCAGATTGATGTATATTATCAAGGTCAAATTCATTATCTCTGCTTTCTGCTACATTTCAGTTTTACCCATTTTAATTTAGGTTAAAAAAGCAGTCCAAAAAGTCGGTATGAGTTACAAAGTCAGTCATATTTTAAAGCTAATACTGAAAAAATTTGCCAGCCAGAGTTAAGTGGAACTTTTTTGAGACAATCTTGAAATTAAAATTTATGAAACATCTAAAAATTTTGAGTAACGCCTGTGTAAGTCAAAATTTTGAAATATTAATGTGAAACTTGGACTTAGCCTAGATGACAAAAAAATTCTTAAGAAATAAGAATCCATACACAGAGGGCTAAAAATCCAAGTAGACATCTAGCCGACATAAACATCATGTTCTTAGAGTTTAAGCTGGGTATATACTAGCTTATTGGGATTTTTCTGAGGAAAGCATAAGTTTTGGTATTTTTACTTGCTAGCAGCTAGCTTAATTGGCTAGGCAGATAACATAGCTCAGAGCAGGTCAAAACTAAGCCTAAACCACACTAAATGTGGCTGAAAAGTAATAGCCATGTTGTACACACTCAATTAGCAAGAGATGAAACCAGCATTTTTAAGTAACACAGCACATTCATCCTTACCATTGTTGTTTGGTGGGAATGGCTTCAAGCATTTAACTCCTCCTTACAACACACCTCAGAATGAAGATCAAAAATACACTGCTAAAGGTTGGCAAAATCTAAGTAGAATTTTCTGAGTAAACATGAGCTTCTTCACTTTACACACAATACTTAAGTTGTTGTATGGTAAGGTAGGTAGCTAGTTTTAGGTAATTCCAGCAGTTATGTTAAAAAGTTCAGTTACTCAGTTAAAAGTGTGAGAATTAGTGCTGATAGGCCTGAAAATGCTTGCATTAGCTCAGCAGTGTTTAGCTTACTATCTATAAGAAAGGAGTACTTGGCCTCTCTAGTCTGACAAAATACTGGATTCTGCTTTTTGTTTTTTTCAGATGGTTGTATTACCAGTTTTGTTCCTGTTGGGGTCACTGTTTCTCTGTGATCCAGTGCAGGCCCAGTCCGACACCATCTTAATGCTGAAACAGGCAGCACGTATGTTATCCGGCCTTATTTTGTTGACAAACGCTTATATAACATTAAGTTTAGTAACTTTAGTTTGACGGCTGAAGCCATATCTGTTTGCCCTTCTTGGTGTTCCTCTGTTTTTTCCAGTTAACTGGAAGGGAGCTCTGACTTGTGAAAAATCGGACTGCAATTGCACTTTCAATCAACAGCGCGGCTGCTGCTGTGCAGCAAGGGACATGCTCCAATTAGAAGAGGATATCTTAGAAAGGATGACCTTTTTGTGGCATGACATCAGCACACTGAAAGGCAGAGTACAGTCACTCACAGGTGAACACCCTTGTTTATTAAATTCAAAGTGTTTTGAGGCCATTGACCTCTGTTGTTCAGTATTAATTCTCCCTTCTCGCTGTCAGATAAAATCAAGGTTGCCTTCAAGGCCACAATGGACCCAAATATTGCCCTTATGGTTCCTGGATCAACAGAACGTTGCTTTGGTCCATTCAATATTAATATTCCAGTTCCCTTCTCCTCTGTCCTTCTCAACAGTGGCAATGGATATAACCCGTCCTTGGGTAAGATCACACACAAAAAAAGAAGGATTAAACTCCTATGACTCCTATGAGTTTAACTCACTAACTCTACACTCTCTGTCTCTTCAGGTATCTTCACTGCCCCCTTTCCTGGTGTTTACGTCTTTTCTTTCACAACCTACTCATCTGTGGGAGAGAATGGGCGCCTCTACCATAAAGTAAACAAAACAGATTGAAATTTCTGATATCATACATTTGACTGGTCTCGCTGTATAGCAACAACAAAATGAGTTGTACCTTACTTTTCTGTGCAGGTCCAGCTTATGAAGAATGGGAAGCGCGGAGCCAGTGTGTGGGAGAACAATCGAGAGGATACGGAGGACAGCGCCACGCAGGTAAATTGATTGCTACAAATACAGTTATTAAATGTGAGACTGTGTCATTTTTGTACAATTTTTGAATGACAGTGAGAAACACAATTTACCATCTGTTTTTCAGGTCGTTGCACTGGAAATGCAGAGAGGCGATCAGGTCTATCTTGACCTGACGTCCGGGAGGAAACTCTGTACAAATCTTCAGTACAATGTCTTCACTGGTTACATCCTGTACCCCTACATTGCTGCCTAATACACCACCTGGAGAGCCAGGTCACTTCATCTTTCTCATTCCAGGACCTTAAATGGATTGAAATCAAAATACTAGTGTTCACCCACCAGATATAGGTTTGTGATTTATTGTGGGGCAGGTCCCATTGTTTAAGAGCCCCTGCATTAGATTTAAACAAAAAACTACAAAGATGTTTGTTGCTATCACATAATATGCCAAGAAACACAGTTTGTGCATAGTTAGAAGAAAAACAAGAAAATCACTTCTTCAAAGTTATTTCCATGATTAAGATCTAAATCTGTGTCAATAAATTATACAAAGTCTGTCTGTATAAAGATAAAGTGTGAAATTTTTGGGTTATGACATAATAAAAGCTTAGTTGACAGTGATGGCGTGTGTTTAATTTCAGAACTCGTACACACTCACATAGGCAACATCCATGAATGGAAAAAGCAGTGAGAGGTTTTTCTAAAAAATTAGGAAGGATGACAGTGGATCATAACAACGCTGCTGCTACTGCTGATGGCATCTGGCCATGACCCACCTTCAGTTAAACAAACACATGATGTAGGAGCAGATTACACACACATGCACGCACATGCTGTGAGAATTTGGACATACCAGTCATTCCAATAGGAGGCTTCTGTGTAGAAGCCAGAAGCACAGGCTGGTGGGTCCATGTTGTTACTTTAAAGCTGGGATGTCAAACTCATTTTACAGCATGGACCACATACAGCCCAGTTTGAGCTTAGAAAAGGGAAGTCCTCCAAACTATACATTTAGTTCAAGAGATCTGAATATGAGAAAAAAGGTGCAAAAAGAGCATTTCTTATCCTACACATGAAAGAAATGCTGCTGTAGTAAATCAAAGGCTTACAACTGGAACTTTTATGTTACTTAATTGTTCATCTAATAATACCAATAACCATGAGAGAGGTTTTTATTGCAGTGAAAAATTGTAAACTTGTGAATATATGATTAATTGTTTACTTCTCAGAGGAGTTTAACTTAGCACAAAGACTGGTAAAACACGAACAGCTAGCCTCTTGTTTTCTTCAGTTTTGTACTCAATGCAAGACACACAACATGTTAAGTGTTGCCTGTTTGCATCAGGATGCAGATCCGTTATTCTATCAACACATTCTCATCCCAAAGCATAACATACTGACACTATGTGACAAATCGTCGGTATATGTTACTCGTTCAGAAACATGAGAACCATTTGGAATGAATCTACACATGGACATTTATTTTACTTTCTCATCATGAATCACTTTGGAAAACACAATCTAATACGATTGAGGTTAGGGATAAGGTTATGGTTAGGGTCAAGGCTGGAATCCAAGGCTGGAACGTGTGTTACTGCCAGGAGCATCATTCTATTGGACTCCATCCACAATCCATATGGATGCAGAAGGTTACCTTTCACGTTCCTATGTGATGCCTCGGGACGTGACAAATCATCGGTATGTTATGCGTTGGGAATGAGAACAGTTTCATTCTATTATCAAACTAAGGTCAAAGTTTATTTCTGACCCACAGAAACAGAGATAACAGGCTCACTCATGGCATATTAAATTCCTGATAATGGTGAATATTTAAGCCAGACTGAACAAGCAGCTGCTCCTAATGACACACATTTTATCTAAATTGTTTGCAGACTCTGAAGTGGGTGTTGTTACTGGTTTTTAGACCTTGCGATGAACACGCTAACACAAGAGGATGGATCACTAATGCTAGCTAGCTTGTTTAGAAAAGTGCTAATTAGAGACACTCAAATAAAATACTAGAATTTCTCGCACCACAACAGTACAAGCTATGTGATACTGGATTAAAATGCTCCCCTGAATTTGTCTTTACTGTGGAAGGTTTTCACTGTGAGTGAATACACAAAGTTTATCAAAGTAAAACGACGGGGACCACAACAAAAATGCCGATAACAACAAACTTAATGAAACTGACAGATTTTTAAAAAGATATTTTAAAGATGCCAACAAAGGCAAAGTTAAAGCTTTCAATTAGGTAGATAAAAGGCCTGGAGTTGATTTGAGGTGTGGTGCTTGCATTTGGAAGATTTTGCTGTGAACCGACAGCATACGTTCAAAGGAGCTCTCGATGCAGGTGAAACAAGCTATCCTTAATCCTTGAGCTGTGAAAACTGAAAAAGGGAGTGGCAAAGTCTACAGTTTTGTGATTGGTGGATGATCACAGAGTCATTTCCTTGGTGATGAGAAACCCCTTAACAACATGCAACCAAGTGAACAACACTCTCCAGGAGGTAGGCATATAGATAACCAAGTCTACCATAAAGAGAAGACAGCTTGAAAGTAAATACAGAGGGTTCACTGCAAGGTGCAAGACACTCATAAGCCTCAAGAATACAACGGCTAGATTGGAGTTTGCTAAAAGACATCTAAAAAAGCCAGCACAGTTCTGGGAAACATTCACTGGACAGATGAAATCAAGATCATCATCAGCAAGGCTCACAAACAAACAGCAACTGAAAGCCTCTGCAGTAAAGGCCTGGCAAGCATTAAAAAGGAGGAAACCCAGCATCTGGTGATGTCAATGACTTTAGGCTGTCATTGCCAGCAAAGGGTTTTCGAAGAAGCATAGGAACAGTATTGAACATTTTATCTTCGGTTATTTCATTTGTCCAATTATTTTAGATCCCTTGAAATGAAGGGATCATGTTAAAAAAGCATTTTCCTCTAGCATTTTTATGTAAACTTTGTGTTCAACCTGCTAAAATAAGCCTGAAAGTCTGCATTCAATTGCATCTGAGTATTTCATTCACTAATGTACAGAACTGTACTCTTTGCGGTAGCAGAGCACTTTATTTTTAGTCGTTAAAGTGAAAGAAGATCCCAACTTACTGCAGATTGGAGGTTGGAGGAAATTGTATAAATGATATATGATCTCACTTATAGTTCTTAGAAAGAAAAACAAAATATGCAAAACAACCCAAACCTCCCCCCATCAGCCTATCTCTGATTATCACTACAAACACGTTGGAGATACCAGTCACGCTGAGTTGACTCCCTGCAGACAGCAAGAGGCTAAGTCGGGACCCCATCATTTAAAGCATGCTCAAGTCTGATAACACACAACTTTAAAACTCTATTTAAACAGGTAACATATAAAGAAAAAAATCCACACCCTGAAGGGTTAGGATGCAAAATTTAGCACAAGTATTTATTTCTGCTGCAGCTTAGCGTTTTACTTTGGGGTGTATGGGAACTGACTCACTTTTGGAATCAGCTTCAAGTCGTCCTTTTAAGGAACTGGGCACTACCTACTGGGATGGCGCCAAGTACTACTGGGGCTGGGGTTTGGTACAGGGAGTATTACTCAATGAAAAGTCATTTATACAAACATATTACTAGATATGTAAAAAAATACACATGAGTTGGTACATTTTCAAAGGGTGATGCTTACACTTACATAGCACTCTTTTTTTAAGAGAAAGATTTTTGTGCTCGAGTGTGAGCAAAGGCGAAAACCACAAGCTGCTAGCTTTGTGTTAGCATGCTGTATATGCAGATGCATGCTAGCAGTAGCTGTCCTGTTGTCAGCAGTTGTTTCTGGCCTGGAAACTGTTTGCGATTTTAGCTGTTTTCCTGCACATTTTTTACATTTCTATCAAGCCTTAATAATATCACTGCTAGCTTAGTAACTGTAATGTGATTACTCTGCAACACTGAGCACGAAGCACAAAAACCACCAGTACCAACCGCACAGCCATGTGTGGAAGATTTATTCCTACACTGTTGACACGTGCAAAGAAGCACATATGAGACGTTGTTGTGCATTTCTTTTCTGTGTTTGATTCGTTTTTATTTTGCCATTTTACGTCTTCATCTATCAAAGACTAACATACCTCATATCTCATAGTCACCCAATAAAACACTCGAGGAAGCACACAGAAACATCTGGCTCTCCTTTTATTTTTACAGCTTATGGAAGCAGGATTAAAGGAGAAGATCAAAGTCATGTAACTTGAATATTAGAGTGCTAAAGATGGAAACCAATGATCATAAGACAGATGTTTTGTGACACGACAAAGTGATTGCGACGCAAAGCGATTCATTACTTCTATCAGGTATGTGGACAAAACATAATGTATGACAGCTGGCAGAGTTTATTAAATGTAGTTTAAGAGTGTAACTTTGTCATTGTCAGTATGAATAGATGCTTTGTTTTATGTAGGAGTGGTCTGAACTAGCTTCTCGCTCTGTGATCTGTCCAGCTTCACAGAGAGTTTGTAACTATACGTTTGAATTCTCATATGCACACAGGAGCATCGTGCTGAAATGTGCTTGTACTGGAAAGGAAGCGATGGAAATGTCATGAATGTTTGTGGTGGGATCCATGCACGCACCCTGGACTTACATGGAGCTTTCTGTCTCAAAGTTTGATGACTTTCTCTTACTCCCATCTTGTTTATCTCTCCTCTCCTCCTTCCCTCCTCAGTGTACACAAATGTGGAAATAGAGTCACTTTTGACACTGCTCAGTCCCTACAGTAGTATAGAACAATACTTTAGTTATTTCCCCCACAACCAACTGTCACTTCCTCTCTTTTCTTTCCACCTCCATCCCATCACCCTTCCTCCCCGCTTCCCTCCAGCCTCTCCCTCCGCCATCTTGCTGTCACTTTTTTTTTTCTTGATGCCACTTTGAACGAAGAGCAATGCGGCGAAACTATTTGGGGAATTCTCGCCGACCAAACCAATGCTGCCGTCTCTCTCCTCTCTGCGTGGAACAGCCGTACCCAAATAAGGCTGGGCGTTCTGACTAGACGTGAGAGGAAGAGACGCAACAGGCAGAGGGAGAGGGAGCTGCTGAAAGGCCATGCCCTTTTAAGGATGAAGTTTCCTTTTTTTCCCTCTCACTCGCCCTCATTCTTGGCTTTCGTTGCTCCCTCCTTCCTCCGCCCTCTCTCACTCTCTCAGTAGAGGAGTGAAGTCATCTGGCCTCATCTGCTCCTTTTAAGCCGGCATTTTTGAGAGGGAGGTCCCTTGCCAAGCATATACAAACACTCAGTCAAGCATCCACACTCACGCCTTCACCAGCGGAGAACTCACCTATTGCTTCACACAGTGAGTATGCTTGTCTTTTTTCCCTTGTAAAACTCCTGGAAGTGATGGTTGTCTGGTTGATGATGGTCAGATGCGGGGTGTTAAATTCGTATCAAAAGGAATACATACAGAATATGACTAATTTCATCCTTC